ATGTGTCTAAGAACAATCAAAAATACCTATCTCATTTTGTGCAGGGATGTACAATTACCACATATTAGGCAAGGGTAGGTGAGTACTCGGCGTACAATTTGTTTGTAAATTAGGAGAGAGCATTTTTTTTTTTTTTATAGGCAGTTGAATTTTTGTTCAGAATGGGATAAATCATTGAAATGCGCTGATATACTTGTTGGACTTTATTGGTTGAAATGTGAGGCCTCACGTGAGATGTTTGTCCAGAGTTACTCTAAGGTAGACGGTAGTTAATCATAGGTTTCCATAGGAATATTTTTGCTGTCAAAATATAGCTGTCGGGGAGTAATATGTAACGAGGTAGACTAAAAAAAACTCAAACGCTCTTTGAGGCGTTGATTTTGATTCACCAGTTCGAGATGGTATTTAAGTGAGTTTGCAGATATTTGTTATTGCTTCGATGCTACGTGATTCCGTGAAGATAGTAGTTGGTATCTATACTTGTATCATCAGCGAAGAGATCAATATGTGTAGGTACCTACGCGGTGATGGCAGAATGCCGAAAACGTATAAATTAAATAGAATAGGACCAAGTTTGATGCCTCGAGGTACACCACTATTTATATTTGACTATATGTCTATAAACGATTTAATAGATGAGGATCACCATAACACGTTTTATTTATAAATAATATAAATATTAATATATTGACTTATTATAAATGCTTTAACTTAAATTATATCAACTTTATATTCTAATAATGCATGAAACTTGGTACTTACATTTTAGAATAGTTATGATTCCCTAGTTGTGATCATACCTACCTAGCCATTACCTTTCAAAAAATTGAAATTACTTTTTTAGTTTAGTGCATGGTGTAGGTATATCAAGTAAGTACCTGCTTACTTGTTAAATATTTTAATTTGAAATGTAAAGTTTATCATGCCAGATATAATATTAAACATTTAAACAAGATGAGTTACTGCCTTTACTTCACTAGCATTTAAATGAGTTTAAACAAATACTTGAGTTGAATGGTTAAACAGGGTATAGGCAAAATTTGATTATTTTTGCAAAAGAAATATTACCTGATATAATTATTTAAATTATAGTTCCATTTTTAGTCCCATTGCTCATGTATTTTCTTAAGGGACAAGCTTGAAAACATGTAATTTTTTGTAAGGCAACCTTGGTTTTATACAATTTTTTTAAAGTAGTGATAACAAACATACTAATTACCAAATCTGATGTATTATTGACAGTTAGAATAAAAATAATAATCAATTATTGATAGAAATCACGTGAGTTTTTAACTTCCATTTTAATACTAATATTCTAATATTTCTTGAAAATGTATTTCCTCTATTAGCTCTTTATCGACAATCATTTTTCTGGGATGACTAGAATATTATATCAGTGCCATAGATCCTAATAATTGATATTTTAAACTAAAATATAATTTAAAATTAGGAGGGAGTTAATATCTGCCTTAGCCCTCTTTAATTATGCCTATGTTTATACGCCACAAATTTAATATCTATAAGAAATAACATATTAGTTATTTATATATTCTAATTGTAGGCTAGAATTGTTCAACAAATACTAATTTTATTAGCATTTTCTAGATATGAAAAAAATTTGCCTTTTAAGAATTATTTATAGCCTTTATCTACTTAATTTAAATTTTAATTGACTTTTGTTTTATATAATTTTATTCTAGGAATACGCTTTAAAAGGTTAGTAAACAATATACATACACAAGGTTAGTAATTATGCAAAGTTTTTAAAGATTTTGTTTACAGTAATTAAAAAATTAAAAACACAGTTTTGTTACAAATAAAGAATTAAAAATAATCAATAAAACTTTATTTGAATAAAATTCATCAAGGTAAAAATAAATACAATTATGTTAAATTAGTACTTTTTGTACAATTAGGTACTTAACACATTTTATCTTGTATAAATCCAAAATAATTTTGAATTAAAAGTATAATATTATAGTTCAATCATAATTATGATATCAACAATATAATACAATTTTATCATTTAGTAGATGCCAATAAAAATTCTTCAACAAAATAGTTTATAAAATGATTTATAATAATTTATAAAAATTGATAGCACCTTGAATGTAATAAATACATTTATATCTAAAATGTAATATAATATTTTGGTGTATTTAATTTTGATTAGTTTTTTTTTTTTTTTWAATTTAAATAAGGCTTCAACTGGTGAGGTTATTAGCCTGTAACAATTACAAAATAGTGGTAATAGGTCTTAAAACTATGGGGATACATTATGTTTAACAATAGAGGGAGTTTATAGAATATATGTTTGATTAGTTTTATGGTACTTCAAAACATGAGTTCATATTTAAAGTAGATTAATGAATACATATTTTATGCTCATTTCAATCAATTTGATGAAAAGATATTCCAAAATTTTTATTTAATTATTAATGTTCATCCAACACATTTAGTTTATTTCATTACACTTTTACTTTTTGCAGGTGTTTATTTTAAATCTAGTTTTAATATTTAATTAATTAACCAATTAGTAATTATTAGTTAGCTAATAAGTGTTCCAACCAGCAGTTCCCTCTTTCACAGTTCCACAGACTAATGACCCTTTCTGTTGATGCCTCAACCCCAATAAAAAAAAAAAATAAGATTTATTGATATAAAAATAGTTTTACTAAATTAAAATATGACCAGTTATTACAAAAAAACATAAATTTATTAAATGTTACATAATTGTTGATTTATTATTATTAAATGTTGAATTCTCGACATAAAGAAGATCGCTAAATGCATCTTTATGAATAGACAAAACAACTAATATTTCCGGGTATTCCAATATTGTTTTATACCTTAAGTTGTATGATATTGTATCCTCAGAATCAAGTTCATAATATCTGTAATAAYATTTTTAATAAACAATAGTGAAGAGTATTAAGTAAATATTATTTGAAAATTTGCATTTATATTTTATACTTACTTTCCATATGGCGTTTTCATTAGAAATACTACACCTTTAATTCCAGCTGAAATATAAAACTGCATTTTTTCTTTTACTTCATTGTCATGAAACTCTGTTGTGAAATAGTTTCTAGCAACACTATTTAGTTTTTGATACTCTGGAACTCTAAATAATTTATATTTGTCAATGTATATGATATAAACATATAAGCATAATTAATTAATTTTATACTTATGATTTGTGTATTTCACATCTGTGCCATGAAATGTCCAATCTATTCGCCAGAAGATTTTATTTAATTTATGATTAAAAAAAGAGGTGTTATTTTTGTTTAAAGTAGATTTAGGTAAAATCTGTAAACGCATGTGTCGTTGATATGCTTGATAACGTAATCTTCGAAAAACCTAAACAAGATAAATTTTAAAAACAGTTAATTTGTTTGGTCCCAAATAAAATATAACATTAAAAATAAATGTCTTTCTTTTTTTTTTTTTAGTCCAGTTTAATAAAATAATATGGACATAATATTGTTAATCAAAAATTATTACCTTAGCTCTAATGATTTAATTGTTTGGAATTTACTTATTTGAAAATATATAATTTAACTAATTTTAAAAACTTTAGAAGCAAAAGTGAATTTATTAGTGCAAAGCATTATTTTAGCCAATACAGATTACAATTATTTAATCTGAATTTCAGATCAATCTGTTGATTTGAGTTTTGGAACCAATCTGTTGATTTGGATTTTGGATCCAATCCGGCTTCATTGTTTTTGAAATAATTAGCTATTTTTTCATTTTTTAGTAAAATACATATTTTGTGAGTAATAGTTAATGAATTATAGTTATATATTTAGATAAATAAAAAAAATAATAATCGTATTCAAAATGCTTGATTTATATCATATTCCGGATTGGGTATTCTAATCTGAATCAAAGGAGCACACAACACAAAAATTAAGTTTTTTTTATTTGAAAGAATGTTTAATTATAAGGATAATGTTATAAGTTTTACGTTTCTACTCACATTATTCAATAAGTTATGAGCAATTGAAAAAAGACGCTTTTCACAATGATTTACCCACCTAAACATTTTATTTTTCAAATTTAATTTACGTATAAATGTGTGGTTTTGTGTGTTTAAGAGGACGCAAGAATCAGAATTTTTATATGACGTTTAGTTTTTTAAATATTTAAAATCATAAAAGAGAAATTTTGGAATTTTTATTTCGTATTTAAATCGCCATGGAGCGCCGTTCAGCAAAAATATCACTTTTAAGATTTTAAATATTTAAAAAACTAAACGTCATATAGAAATTCTGATTCTTGCGTCGTCTTAAACACACAAAACCACACATTTATACATAAATTAACTTTCAAAAATAAAATGTTTAGGTGGGTAAATCGTTGTGAGAAGTGAGGAACTTTTACACTTATAAGATAGGCAATTACGAAGAGTAGGGTCCAAAGACGTCACGCAGCTATTTTACATTTTATAATATCTCTTAAAGTAATAATTTGTTTTGCATCAGATTTTCACTAAATCATTTCATATAGCCATATTTACAATAATTTAACATTTAAAAATAATTTAAATATTTTTATTTTTTTTGTGTTGTGTGCTCCTTCAAACACATTGTAACTTTGGTTTCAATCCAAATTAATCCGAATATGGTGATCCAGATATAGCCCTCAGCACTAGTACTTTAGTTTAACTCTAACAATTATTTTCTTAATAATATCAACCCCCCTGCCATTCAAGAGAACACACTAAATCTAATTTGCTAGAATTTTTTTTATTATAAAAAGTATCATGTTATTAGACAAAAATAAATATTATTATAATATTATGAATACCACGAAGAATTAGTAATTTTTAGCTATCATTTTTTAGTTAATTAATAATTTAAAAAATGTTTATTGATTTATTACAATAAAAATCTAACAAGAATAATTTGGAGAATTATTGAAGTACAAATTATACTCACTGCAGATAAATTGGATATGCGTTGGGTTTTCATTTTAAACTCTCCAACAGCTTCAATAAACTCATTCATGAGTCTATAATCTATTTGTGAAAATAAAAGCTAATTAATAATGTTTCTTTAAAAATTACAAATACCTTTAATACCTTGACCCATATCAGCGTCATTAAATTTTTCTAATTTTTTAAACCCTGTTTTGTATTTCTTGCCATCACAATCTAATTCTTTCTTATGAATATTAACACATGACAAACTACAAGTTTTCACTTCACACCTTGGGCAGCAGTACTTAGCAGCATCACCGCTGCACACTTCACAAAAGCCCAATCTGTATAAAATAATATGACAAATTTGCATTTAAAAAATTATTTAGAATAAAATATAATGTTTTATATTACCGATTCTTAGATTCCATACTTTTATTTAACACAAATTAAAAGATTTACTACAATACAGAATATCATAAATAAATAAAAAATTTAATTTTCTAGAAACTAGGTAAATTTAATGTAACCAATACAAAGTGAACTTTAAGAATTATAAAACTGAATAAAAATATTTTAAAAATCAATCACTTAATAAAACAAAATAAAGCATTATTTTAAAATTTGAAATATGCTGCATACTCTGCGTTGGCGATTTGCCGATTTCAATGATTTCATGTAACATGAGACATGACACATGTGACATGCACATACTCACATGGCTTGGCTTTTGTCTATCATCACGATTTAAGATAGTACTATCTTATCATATTATTATTTATTTGCTTATTAAAATATTATCAATTTGTTTGATAAGAATTTTGATAAGATCAGTTACATTTAGTAAAAGTGGTTGATGATTATATAACATTAATTCGGTAATGACGGTAATTCCTATTTCCTATGAAGAATCATTGCAAAAAAAAAAAAACACCTAAGCAATTATATATTGGCAAATAAAGGAATTAACGGTAAAATATTTAAAATAAAAACTACAATGCTGGTGGCCTTAATGGTTTAGCCGTTCGGGATATATTGGGACAAGCTACTAACTAACAACAGACTAAGAAATAATTTTGTTCTGAGAGGTGCCCTAGTTGAATGCACAGAACACAGAACAATAGTCTCTGAAAAGATGAATTTATTCCATCTATTCCGTGGTTTAAGCATAGAACAGTTATGGCACGTTATGGTGGTTATGGTCTAGCTTAAGTCAAGTTATGCAAATTCTGTTTTCTAAGGTTGGTAATAATGATTTGGCGGTCTAATGCATATTCTCATAATTTTTTTTGAATAATAGGAAAGTTGGTGAATGGAGAGTTTCTTTTATGTTAATGGTTATTGAATATATAACGTTATTAATATAACTCAGACTTAATTATTGTAGAACCTGCTATGTATAAAATGGGAATATTATAGTAAGAAATAAACAATATTAAATATTTACATATATATTATTTTTTGAGGTTAGTGCTTATTGGCAATTCCTTAACGGATTATGGATAATGGATACCTTTTTTTGATATTTTTTAAGATAATCTTTTATCTTAGTTAAAGCCGCGCAGCATGCCGCATGCCTTCGACAGTCTGGTTGGTATTGACTGTTTTCAGTTGTGCTAGATTTCTCTGTGCTTATTTAGTTTTCCCGCTAAATGTTAATCTTAAATTACATTTTTTATTTTTGTTTAGCCAAAAAAAAAAATTATTGTGAGAAATAAGTAATAACAATTTTATCATAAAAAATTATTTTATTTATAATAAGTACATTTCATTTGAGTAATAATTATTTATTTTTTAAATGATAAATAAGTTATTGAACTTGTATACATGTTTAGTGATACTTAAATAAGTACCTATTTTCCTAGTTGAAAAAGTGATTTTAAGTATACTTTGGTAAGTAATATTAATTTCTAAACTTAATGCCGAGTTGCATAGATAATAACTAAACATGTTTTAATGAATCAATAGTGAACCTATAATCCTTGACATATAGTTTATAGGTTCATTAAATTTTAGTCAACTTAAAATAAACCAATTTTTATGCAACTGGGTATGAGGGAAATTTCCAAAAAGTTATTTAACTAATTATTGATGTACCATGTAGATATTTGTCTACTGGATAGATGATGGATTCTACATTAAACGTTTCAAGATCCATGGATACCATGTCCATGAAAAATCAATCACTATCAGCCAAAGACAGTTTAGATTTATCGGGAAAAATGTTGGATAGATTTTTTGCAGCAGATGACTCATTTCCAACACTTGTTGAGAAAATGCAGATAAATAAAAGCAGTCAGTACTTTCTTATTATATTATGATTCGGATTATTTATTTATTAACAAAAGTGCTTTTTCTTGTTACCTAGGTCAAAGTGTTAGTGGTTGTACTGAAAATGATTATCCTAAAGAAGAATTAGGGATGTCTTCAATTACTCCCCTCAAATCAAAACACAAGGTACCACTACCGGGTGCATTACTAGAACAATGGAATGGTATTTTTATTTTATATCATTGTCCTATTTCCTATTATTTTTTAAAACATTAATCAAATGTGTTTTATGTTTATGCGCAATATAGGTACCATTCAATGATAATTTTAGAAAATTATATTTACATAATATTTTATGATATATATATATATATATATATTAACATTGAATTACATTTAATTTCAATACATTTTTGTTAATCTAGATGCACAAAATTTTCATCGGAAGTTAGGAATATTTCCTGAGATCAACCGAGTTTGGGTAACAATTGATCAGGAATTCTTTTTATGGGACTATAGTGAAGGGTAACTTATTATTAATTATGATCTATATAATCATTTCATTGTATAATTTTTATTATAGAACGGATTTATCTTATTTTGATGGAATGAACTCTACTATTTTTGCAGTAGCATTGGTACAACCAAAACCAAATATATTTCAATCTCACATTAAACACTTGTTAGTCTTAGCTACTGGATTAAACATTGCAATATTAGGTGTTACATTTAAAAGAGTGACCAGTGTTGATGGTAATGATGTGATGCCATTTTATAATAAACAAATAATTATATTTGTCTATTTAATTTTAAAATTTGTTTGCACGTTTAGGTAAAACTGTAGAACAATTGGAACTTACTACAGATACCATTTATGAAGTTCCCTCTGAAGGTATGATAACCTCTAGAATTGTTGGAACCAACGATGGACGAATTTTTCTTGCAAGTGAAGATGGTAATCTGTTTGAAATTGATTATTGGGTAATTATTGCAAACAATATTTTTTTAAATTTTTTTTTAATATTAAGTACCTAACTGGTTCTTTTAATGTATTAATGAAATAATGAGTAATGTTTTATTTAAAACAGAAAGATTTGGGATGGTTTTCAATTAGAAATGGAAGTCGTTGTAAGATAGTTTGTCATTCAGCTAGTACTTTATCGTATTTATTACCTTCATTTTTAACATATGCAATGACCGAATCTTCTGCCATTATTGAAATAGCTGTTGATAATACACGGCATATACTTTACACTCTAGCTGAAAATAGTTCAATTGAATTGTATGATCTTGGACTTGATGGTAAATCTACTAGCCGAATTGTTTCTTTGTCACACTCTAATCTTGAGCATCAAGTTTCAAAGTTACTCAGGTAAATATAAAAATATATTTAAAAAAGTTTTGTTTGATATTAATCCTTTCCCTTTATCAAGTCGTCTTAAATGTTTTCCTGGCCTTTTTAGTTGTTTTTGTATTCCGTTAAAGAACTTTCAAATAAGAGTAAATAATAGTAATTTATTTTGTATAATTAATAGTACGGTTCATTGTTAGTATTTCATGATTTCAATAAATAGGCAAAAACAAAATTAGACAATATCTTGAAGATCCTCTAATCATCATTTCTTGACCTTTATCATGCAATAATATATTTTATTTGTAAACAATATATATATATTTTTTTTTTTTTTTTAAACTTAATGCTAGTATTTAATATTATAGTGAATAAATAATTCATTAAAATTATTTTTTAGAATTAGTGTGATAGGCACTTGAAACCATACATTCAATTAAGTTACAACAAAACAGACTAACATTTGTGTAATGTAATAAAAAATATAGTATTAAAGATTTTTTCTAAATATATCTAGTAAAAAACTTAATTATGCGTAAAATGATGAATGCAGCTAATTAGATATCCTTTTTATAGTCACTTGCTGTTTAAGCACCACATAGAGTGGTGTTGTTCTACTGTACTATAATTGACTATAATAAACATTAATAAAAAATATAAATTCCTATTGAGTAATGATTATCAATTTGGTTTAATTTTTTCAGAACTATAGAAATAGCTCAAATGACTTTATTGAGTARTATAAAAATCATAGAAGAAACTGAATCACCAGACATTCATCTATTGGCTGTATCCAAATCTGGATTTAGATTATATTTTTCTACTGGAGCAATAACCTCTAGAAATACTAGACCTTACACGTTACAACTTGTACACATCCGTTTACCACCAGGATATAATAGAGTTATTGGARAATCTAAACCAAGTAGTGTTCAGCACGTGTTGTACAACAGAGGTATAATTTTATTTTATAGTTTAAAATCCAAAGATTATTATTAATATTGTTGTTATAACTTATAAATGACAATTATTTATCAATAACATATTAGAGTTGTTATTTATCTATTTGAATTTGAAACTCATTCATTTTAGTAGCTTATATTAATCAGTAACTATGGCATTTTAATTTTAAAATTATATATCTCCTCAAATTCTAAATACTAATGCATCATTTATGTGAATTCATGAATTATAATTGTTTTATCTTGTCAATAAGTTGTAAATAACAAGTGTTATCTATTACTTTCAAAATTGATGTTTCAATTTATAAATGCACTTTTACTTAGTATTGCAGAAAATAAATGTAAATCATAGGGGAACTTTAACCTGAGGTGAATAGTAGAAAAGTTCTCAGAATATCAGAAACTATTTTTATAAGCTTTCTACTTTGTAAGAGATGCTTCTACACATGTAATTGCATGTTTTGCTAGTAAAATACACTATATAATCACAATGAAAAMATACAAGTTCGAATATTATAGACTAAAACTCTGTTCCACTTTTTTTTTAATTCTAAGTATATAATAGTATGGTGGAATAATTTTTGAATTAGTGTTTTTTAGTTTTAAGTGTGCTTTGTATGATTGTATGTCCAGGAGATTAACCACTATTATTCTAAATATTTTGTTTACAGGTACTATTTTAATGGCATGCAACACTGATATAACGAATTATAGGCCAATGTTGTGGTGTATATCCCCGGATGAATATGCATTTAGTTCTAACTTTAGTGAAAGATATTTTATTACTGATTTGGATGTTTGTCCATTATCATTGAATAATATAGGACCAAATTGGTTGATATACAATGACCCAAGTTCACCACAACCACCACTAATTGTTCGTCAACAATTTGAAAATCGTCAAGAATATATAACTTTAGCCCCACAAGTAAGGATTTTCGAAAACTTTGTTTTTACTTTTAAACATTATTTTCTTCTTTTAATAGGGTTTAGAAATTTTTGAAATKCTTCGACCTTATGACACCCTGTGTGAATTATTGGCCAACAGTCAAGGTTCAGAAACAGATGCTATCAAAACATATTTTAAAAATTTCACAGACAATCAAGCATGTGTAGCATGTCTCACAATAATTTGTGATCAGTCATTAAAA